AGCTGCTGGCAATACAGTTTAGCGTTGATGGCGTGACTGTGCGAAATAAGCCCGAAATGCTGTATTCCTTGGAAATTTCACCAGACAGCGATCAAGATTGAGTGAGTAAGGACTTTCTGGCCAAACTAGTACATTGTTTAGTTCTCAATTATTGTGCAAATTTTTGTCTTGAGTCCCTTTTTTTTTTTTCATAGCAAGTAAAAACGATCAAACATAGGTCACCCTGAGGACGTCTGAAAAGAGATGAACTTGATTTAAAAATAATAATCTCATAAACTCATTTAACAGTTATGCTAACATCACTAAAACCATTATTATCTAAACCCAAAAAAAATTGCGTACGCATTTTTTGATTTCAGTATTAAATAACCCATAACCTGCTAAACAATAAAAGCCAACTAACTAACCAAGTTTATTAACTCTATTTTTGGTGCTGTGGGGATTTGTCAGAGTATTAGTCGTATTTAAAACAATAAAAGCCAACTAACTAACCAACCGACCAATTATATTAACCCTATTTTTGGTGTGGGGGGTTTTCAGAGCATTAGTAGTACTTAAAATACATTGTTCAGTTCTAAATTCTCCTGCTATATTTTTGGCTTGTGTTTCTTTCTTTTTTCTTTTTTTTTTCTTTTTCATAACAAGTAAAAACGTTGTTTTGTTTTGAAATATCGAATTAAAAGGCCAATATTTAAAAAAAAAATGAAATTTTAAGTTTCAAAAATTAAAACACGCAAAAATAGGTTTCATTTTATTTTTAATATGACCTTTTCAAACAATCTATGATCAGTTCGACATCTCTCCTCAAATATTATTTCATATTGCAATATATGAACAAGAAGGTTACTGTGATCTTTGCATGTATTTTTATAACAAAATAGCGCATATACCCGTGCATAGGTCGACTTCCCTTATAGTGTAACCCTGATTTTTTTTTTTTTTTTTTTTGGGGGAAACCTGATGTTTTTCATATAGATCTTGGTATAATGCAACCGCACCTTCTGAGCTATGCCAGGAGGCCTGACGTAGTCAAAGAGTGCATGTGGGAGTAGGAAGTAGGGTTGACCTTTTCCTGATGCAAGTTCATGCGAAGATTATATGAAAGATTGCGAGAGATACACGTTTTGAAAAGTGTTCTCTGTTGGTTTGGTAACATTATTTGACATGCCTGTGTGTTGACAAGGTTTATGGCATTTGTATACTGTGTCCTTTCTGTTTTGTTTTCAATGCGACATAACGTTCGCTGGTGGCCAAGAGCCCTCCCGGAACGGAAACGAGAGGCGCCCTATCTCGAAGGCATCCCGTGGCTAATAGAGAAAATAGATCCGCCATCTTGTTATACCGGGTGTAACAGCAAAATTGTCCAATTGTAAAAATTAATCTTTGAACCGTTTTATCTTAGACATGATTAAAGATATCTTACTGGAATTCTTCGAGGTTTTTATAACACTATTGGACTCTACTTAGAGCAATAAGAATGTACAATTACGTCCAAAGCTTAACAGATTAAAAATCGTGATGAAATCGATCAAAACAAAAATGACATGTTCATCATTAAGTAAGGATTAGAATCTCATCAAGTATTGAAATAAAGTTCATATATATATATATATATAGGCAGCATTTTTTCATTCATACATGTTTCATTAATGGCTTATGTAAGCATAAAGCTTAGATTGGATTAAAAAATATGGATCAATATTGTAATTTTCTTTCTTCGTTTAATGATAATGTTATTAAGCTTATCAGACGTTATGAAAAGAATTTACATAAAATAAATAGACAACACTTGTCTTTATTATTTAATGAAACATATATATATATATATATATATATATATATATATATATATATATATTATTCCAGGATCATTTTCTAACTTATTCAAGATGATCTTCGTCCACTCTAACCTTCTAAATTTCTGTCCTGGAGTAACAAGTTGTCTCACAGGTTTCACGTACGATTTTATTTTCAAGTCTTTTTTTCACTAATCTTTGGACTGTCATAGCTGAAACTCCTCTCTCACGTAACAAACGTTAAAAAAAAACGCTGCCTAAATACACACAATTTAAATGACATGATCCAGCAGCCCACAAAACTATGAACACTTGGAATTATAAATGTAGCCTTGTGAAAAGGCAAATTGAAATAGCCACAGAAAAATTGAACACACTTAAGAGCACCAAACAGGACATCTACGATAAACTAAAGGATATAAATACTCCGGACCAACTGGAGGAAATTACACATAGACTCAAGGAAATTACTTCTCGTTTTCACTCTCGAGTGGTCATGTGTGACGTCATGAGCTGCGGTGCGATTTTCGCTTCTAGCACGTGTTTGTCGTTGCTTGGAAATCTTCCATGTAAACAAAAACATTATTGATTTGTCCGTGTATTGTTTAATATATTGTAATGTAATTGTCATCTTTGATAATGGCTTATGTAAGCCGAAAACTTAGAATTTAAAAAGATATATCAATATTGTGATTTTCTTTCTTCGTTTAATGATAATATTATTAAGCTTATCAGACGATATGAAAAGAATTTATATAAAATAGACAAAACTTACCTATATTATTTAATGAAACATGCATCAATCAATCAATATATATATATATATATATATATATATATATATATATATATATATATATATGTCTGATAGAATAAATTATAGACATTGTGTCTGCTAATTCTTAATAAAATCCGTTCATACTCACGAATTTCGTTTATTGATGTTAAAGGATGAGAGAAATATGCTATAGCTGTTTAAATTTCTTTTATTTTCGTTTCCCAAGTACTTTCGATCTTCCTCCAAGATCATCTTCAGGGGTGCAAGTAGTACAAAACTATAGGCTGTTCATTAGTCTATGAATTTATATAAAGATGCGCGTCGTTTTCCATATAGCTTCATTTAAATGGGATACCAGTGAAAATAGCTCGTCACAGCAGTTACATCTAACGCTTGGCACTGTTGCTTGTTTTCTCTATCTATAGCTGGCCACTCGTTTTCGAGGATAGCCGTCTACTAGTGCGGCTAGCCTATCCCTATTGCAGACGCTTGCTCAGACACATTTGTGTTTTTTCAACACACAGAGCCAACCTGTCGTTTATACTGCAACTATGCATAGCAGACCTTAGTTACAGTTTCTGGTGGGGGGGGAAACGTGTTATCTAGCGTGATTAACAATTTGAACAAGGCCAGAACGCTCAAACCCTCGGCCACGATGACTTGTGACTTCGTGCTAGGACAGCTATCGAGGGCCTCCACAGGTACCGTGTACCCAATTTCACTCACAAAGCTTGGGGTCAATCCGTGACATGGCTTTCAGGCACGTTCCAAAGATGCCGCACCCTGGATCGCCACTCGAGACCAATAATATGATGAGATTCGAGCCCGGGTCAAATGGTCAGAAATCGAACGTTCTTATCACTCGGCCCATATGTTTATATGCTTGTTAAACCTAATAATTTTTGTATATATATATATATATATATATATATATATATATATATATATATATATATATACTCAAGGCTAGATGTGACACAATGTGACACACATACTTATGCATATGGGCCAAGCACAAAAATTGGATTTTGCCCAACCCCAGCGACCACTGTCACGCTGGTATTGGTATTACGCCGACCCAACCTCTTTAGTGCAATGAGGAAGGTGCTGCTGCAGGGTCGGAATCCCCGGAGATGAACAACAACTTCTCCCATGTAAAGTAAAGAGAATCTTAGCTCTACTTACAGCACGGGGGTGTGGAGCGTTGACTACGTCTCAGTAAGCGTTCATTGGCTGATGATTAACTCCTGTAACCAGGTAAGTAATTTTGTATCTATGAGTTCGTTTGTATGGGAGGCGCTTAAATATGGACATGAGAAAATAACACCAGTGCTCTCTCCTTGGGTACACGGACACACGGACACACACACACGGCCAATATAGGGCCGATAGTTGTTCCCTTGCTGACACTCCAAACATAGTAATTCAACGGATCCAAATTAAGAAAGCCACGTGATCATTCTTGACCAGCCATTCCCTGGTTCACGTGATCTAGAGGCAGATAAGACCTAATAGAAGATGTGCGACCATTCGATTCATATTTTTTTTCCCAGATATAAGCGATAACATCGACTCTCATCGAGTAACTGATTAATGGAGATCTGAATTTCTTGGACGAACTACTCCCGGCCCGGTCCAGTCAGCGCCGGCCCAACCAACGACATCCGAAATCTGACAATTTAGAATGTGTCCTGCTATCGGCTACGCTTTCGGTCGGATCTCTCCAGCTTGATTCTAATATTAAATTCTAGAGAACAGGCCTCATTCATCAAGCTCACTATCTCCGAGTCACTATTGTTGGCGGCCGGTGCCAAAAGCCCGGCGTGCCTTTTCATTTCCTGTGTCAGACGAGATAAATCTTCAAAGGAATGTTAAAATTGGGCGCATGCCGCGTAACATTATGTTACGATGCCTTATATTTTAGGCTCGCTTAAATGTATTTTCAAATTCCTCGTGGAACATATCAGAATATTCCACGAAAAATACGAAAGGCCCTGACTTTTTTTTTAAGTAAGATAAATAGATAAACGATATAAACCAATATTTCTACATAAACAGTGTCTTTTAGAAGGAACGCTGTCTGGTTTCCTAATCAGTTTGGACAAGAGTAAATTTTGTCTGATACATTATGTCAATAGAATCATTCGACAAGTTGTTCGGACAAATATTCTGATCTTATCAACGGTTGTTGGAACTATTGATCGTTTTTTTATGGCTTTTACATCAGATCTATCTCAGCTAAGATTCCTATGATAGTTTATCTATCTGTTCATATCTATTTCACTATATCAATCTAGCTAGCTCAATTTCTTCTTATTTATTTTGCACATATCTATCTATCGATCTATCTATATATCTCATTTTATTTATCTAGCTAGCTCTGTTCCTATTTATCTTGTTCATATCTATGTTTCTATCGATCTCAGCCCGTTCATATCTATCTATCTATCTATCTATCTATCTATCTATCTCAGCGCGTCCATATCTATCTATCTATCTATCTATCGATCGATCGATCAATCTCAGCCCGTTCATATCTATCTATCTATCTATCTATCTATCTATCTATCTATCTATCTATCGATCGATCGATCGATCTCAGCCCGTTCATATCTATCTATCTATCTATCTATCTATCTCAGTATATCTAGGTAGCTAGCTCAGTCTGTTTCTATCTATTTTGTTCATATCTATGTTTCTATTGATCTCAAACCGTTCATATATATATATATATATATATATATATATATATCAGTCCGTTCATTATCTATCTATCTATCTATCTATCTATCTATCTATCTATCTATCTATCTCAGTCCATTCATATCTATCTATCTATCTATCTATCTATCTATCTCAGTCCCATCATATCTATCTATCTATCTCAGTCCCATCATATCTATCTATCTATCTATCTATCTATCTATCTATCTATCTATCTATCTATCTCTGTCCATTCATATCTATCTCAGTATATCTAAGTAGCTAGCTCAGTCTGTTTCTTTCTATTTTCTTCATATCTATGTTTCTATCGATCTCAACCCGTTCATATCTATCTATATATCTATCTATCTATCTATCTCAGTATGTTCCCGTCCATTTTGTACATTTTCGTTCTATGTATCTGTCTATCTCGAGCTATCTATCTTAATCCGTTTCTATCATAGTTTATCCTTATCTACCAATCTCTTTATCTATCTCATTCCTTTGTTTACAATAATTTTAACCCTATAAATTCTCAAGAGCCACTCTAAGTAGAGCGTTATTTGAAAGATAGTGGTCGTGTCAAGGCTTGAACTCGAGAAATTTCCAGAAGATACATGCCATCATGACAACAAAATAAAATGCGTACTAATTCAATCACATCTATAATCGAGATGAATCTATCTATATTCTATATCTATTCTATATAAACTTTGTTACTGCTACATATAAACAATAAAAGACTTAGTAGAGTACTAAACAAAACAATAAGGTAAAACCTGAAGGAGCCGTTTGCTCCATCACCTGTAATAATTGTTACAAAAATACATAGGAGAAACGTCAAGAAATCTAAATAAAAGATTATATGAAAATTTTACAAAACAATACGTCAAGGGCGTTGGTAGCCCACCGTAACGAGACTGACTACATAAAAATGTTACTCTGATCAAAGGAGAAAATAATTCACTACAGATTAAATGTCAAGAGAGTGCTTTAATCGCAAGGTCAGCTACAGTCTTCATCCGGGATCTTACAACATTTCACCCTACCTGGCGGATCCTCTAATATCACGGTGTGGAATAACCTACTTACAAATGTGATGGAAAGAAAAAGAAAAATCTCTAAATGAATTCGGCGAGATAAAAACAAATTTCCAAATCTCCAAACACCTGTCAGTCGTGCGTATGTGTTGTCCGATGAAGCCCTAAAGAATGAAACCCATTACAAGTAAACTTTTTCCACTTTGTCATACAATTTCCCCAACACTGTTCTTGATATATAAAATATATCGTTATCTCATATATATATATATATATATATATATATATATATATATATATATATATATGAATACGCAGAGATCAATAGGTTCTTATATTTTCATATAAGCTTGAAGTCCTCCACGTTACAAAGCAAATCAAAAATGAAAATATTAGAATCTATTGATCAAGTAAGGAAAGGATTTATTATCGAACTGTTTTTAAAATTGTTCCATCGTTCTGATATTATGAAATCATTTTCGATTTGCTTTGTAACGTGGAGGACTTCAAGCTTGTATGAAGATATAAGAACCTATTGATCTCTGCGTATTCCTATATCAACGGAAGGGATTTCTTGATATATATATATATAAGATAAGAACGAACAGAGTACACTTCCAACGTTAATTTAAAATAGGGATCAATACATAGTAGAGCAATATGTAGATCCTTATATGAACCCTGTTTTCTGTGTTTACATGAAAAATTGGAAATTGTCAGATTCTTTGTTCAAAGATCTGAGTTAACTGTAAATTGTAAACACAGACTACCTTTTACCTTACAATTCAGTTAGACTTTGGAATTTGACAATGATTTTTCTTAGATTTTAGTTGAACTGTGTTGCACCATATATGGCTTATCTTTTGAGTTTTATCATAGAAGCTATGTCTTTGTTTCATATTTTATTACTATTATTTTTCTCTTAAAGGTTATAGGAATATATTGTAAGGCAAATCGTTCCCCCTTTTTTATAATTTAACATATTTCAAGAGTATTTCGTAGTTTATTGTATGCTTAACCGACTCCATAATTTGTAAATACAGTATTTGTTTAATCAATTTTATTGAATATTGTTGTTTTTTATCTTTTATATTATTTGTGTACAGTTAAATCACATGGTATGTTTATGGACAATCATTTGAAAGTTGAGAATGCGTCTGTTTAGAAGTTAGTTGACCTGTATTAATGTTAAGAATCAGGGTAAACGATAAAATGTAACAGTAGGGTCGAGTTTAAGCCTCCCCCTCTAACTACAAATAAAAACGAAAGCGTAAATATTTAGAGTAAGGCATCAAACCATACTTAGGAAATAAGAAAAAAATGGTTAAATTTAAGAACGTTAAATGACCTCCTTAGTTATCCATTGAAATTGTTATCCACCGAAAAAGAAAGAAAAGATGCCAATTCCTACTGTGGACCATTTAAAAGACATTTCGCGCAGTGGATTGGTTGTTACAAACACCCAATCGGATGTGCGGAAAATGTGGTCTATTTTCGTCTAAATCATTAAAAAGGCCAGAGTTGCTGTTAGCGTTTGACTGCGAGGGGGTACCAGGGATTGATCTCCTCTTCGTGATGAGGTGTATGATATTGAAAGACACGAAACTCCCTGATGAACCAAGTCAATTTCATCACTGACGACTCCCTCCAGCGCCTACTTATGAGCGTATATTTGAATTAATTTAGTTCTGTATTTGATCTTCTTCTAGTATTATTAACATACCACACCTATGTATTGGTATTTAGTTAGTATGTTTGACATTTTAAATTGATTGGTTGATATTATTAACATCTGATATGGATGATAGTTATTTAACGATTACGTAATATTTACCAAATAATTCTATATATTTAGATTATTTACTTGATTCTTAACTAGGCCTTTTATTTATCAACTACAAGAAATAATATATATATATATATATATATATATATATATATATATATATATATAGAGAGAGAGAGAGAGAGAGAGAGAGAGAGAGAGAGAGCAAGATTATGGCATCAAACCATACCTAGGAAATAACAAAGACGGTTATATTTAAGAATGTTAAATTACCTCCTTGTTTATCCATTGAAGCTGTTATCCACCCACCGAAAAAGAAAGAAAAGAAGTCAGTCCCTAGCATGGATGATTTAAAAGACATTTCGCGCAGTGGATTGGTTGTTACAAACATCCAATCGGGTGCGCGGAACATGCGGTCTATTTTCGTCTAATTCATTAAAAAGGCCAGAGTATCTGCTAGCTTTTGATTGCGACGGAGAATTAGCCTTCCAGTTTCTTACAACATTTCACCATTTTTCACAGATCCCCCATTATTATAATGTGTGATATTTAATAACAAAATTGATAGAAACATAAATTAAAAAAAAGAAATAAATAAAATAAAAAAAGAAATTAAATGAAGTCGAGGAGATTATATACGAAAGTTCATGTATTACAAATCAAAAGACGAGCATTCCGGCAGTGACGTCAAAATAAACGTCCTTATGGTCGAAACGCGTCACGCGAAAACTTTTAACATTTTCTCCATAAAAAATATCTATCTATCTATCTATCTATCTATCTACCAAAACGGTAAATATTTAGAGTAAGACACTATACCCTACTTCGGAAAAAGGGTTAAATTTAGGAACGTTAGATTACCTTCTCGAAAAAAAGAAAAGAAGCCAGTCCCCACCGTGGACAGTTCGCGAAGTGGATTGGTTGTTGCAAACGTCCAATCGGGCGTGCGGAAAACGTAGTCTTTCTTCGTCTCAATCATTAAAAAGGCCAGAGTGTCTGTTAGCGTTTGATTGCGAGGGGGAATCAGGGATTGATCTCCCCTGATTGGTTTGATTTGGTGATGAGGTGTATGATATTGAAAGACCCGAAACTCCATGATGAACCAAGTCAATTGACATCACTGACGACTCCCTCAGGCGACTACTTAAGAGCGTATATTTGAGGTATATATATCAGGACCTACCCGCATTTCTCACCCACACAAGACAGACATGCTTGCGGAGGTGTTGAGGCCTCACACTTATACACACACCCACGCGAATATTCACACATCATACTCACTCACTCCCTAATGAGTCAAATGATAACACACACCCATACTAATATACACACTTACACTTTAATACTTTAAAAAGGCCAGAGCATCTACTAGCGTTTGATTGCGATGAGGGATTCATGGATTGCTGATGGGGTGTATGATATTGAAAGGCCCAAAACTCCCTGATGAACCAAGTCAATTTATATCAATACTAGGGGCATGGCCCGGCATTGCCCGTGCTTGATTCAAAAATCGTACAACTCATACAGCAATAGCTATCACTTGACTTAAAATATTTTTGCCCTTCCTTGTCTTTAAAGGAGTGCCCTTTGCCGTTCTAATGTTGCTACATGCCTTACTTCTTGCCTATCTCACACTGCGAATTTTTTCTAAGGTCTATACTAAACATTAAATCTGTTACGAAAAAAGAACTAAACAAAATGAACACAAAACGATCAGCTTTAAAAAAGGACTCGTAACTGGAAAAACCGAATGAAAAAAGAATGTTAACAACAAATACTTTTTCACACCCAAACCCAGTTCTGCGGAATCAGAATCAACGTTGAGTTTAAGCAAGTGAATGAGCCAATTGGAGTAAAGTGCCATGCAGATTTAAAATTTTCCCACTTGTGACGAATGCAGCTATCCATTTTTTTTGCATGCTAGCATGCTAGTGTCAGTCAGCTGTTGGCTCTCACGCTGGCCAATAGAATCTTCCTGCCCATTCGTAGCAGCCAGCTATTGGCTCTCGCTCTGGCCAGTACAAAATGGCCGCAAACTACATGAAAACTGCCGTAGAAAGATGAAAAAATCGATTATTTCCGCTATCGATGGGAGTTGGGAAATGCAGTTACCCGCTAACTTGGAGCTTGTGCATGTAAATTTTGGTGCAAATCCGTCGAAAATTGTGGTCGTGTATTCGTTACACACACACACACACACACACACACACACACACACACATCCTGCCTTATATATATATATATATATATATATATATATATATATATATATAGAAAGAGAGAGAGGGGGAGGGAGAAAGAGACCAAGGCATCAAACCATACTTAGAAAATAACAAAAACGGTTGAATTTAAGAACGTTAAATTACTTCCTTGGTTATCCATTGAAGGTGTTATCCACCGAAAAAGAAAGAAAAAATGCCAGTGCCCACCGTGGACAGTTTGCGAAGTGGATTGGTTGTTAGAAACATCCAATCAAGTGTGTGAAACGTCTGGTCTATTTTCGTCTAAATCTTCAAAAAGGCCAGAGTGGCTGTTAGCGTTTGACTGCAAGGGGGTACCAGGGATTTATCTCACCTGATTAGGTCGACTTCGTCATGAGGTGTATGATAGTGAAAGACCCGA